TGTCCCTGAATAAGCATCTATTTCTTTAGTAGATTCATTGCTTGTAACTAGAGAAAGGGTGAAGTTATAAAGGTATCAGAAGAAAAGCTTTTTATATTTTGACACTAAAATTTATGAGTCACCAGGGCGCCTGAGTGGCTCAGTCGTTAAGTGTCTGCCTTCGGCTCAGGTCAGGATCCCAGGGTCCTGGGATCGGGCCCCACATCGGGCTCCCTGCTCAGCGGGAAGCCTGCTTCTCCCTCTCCCACTCCCCCTGCTTGTGTTCCCTCTCTTGCTGTGTCTCTCTCTGTCAAATAAATAAATAAAAATCTTTAATAAAAATAAATAAAAAAAAATAAAAGCTCTCCAGGAAATGGAGAGAGCACGAGCAGGGCGGAGAGACAGAGGCAGAGGGAGAAGAAGGCTTCCCACTGAGCAGGGAGCCGGATGCGGGGCTTGATCCCAGGACTCTGGGATCATGACCCGAGCCGAAAGCAGTCGCTTAACTACCTCCCAGGCGCCCCTATGTTTCACTTCTTGTTCTTGCCCTAATCCTTCATATATAACAGAGGCCCTCAGATGCTTACTTTTTACCTCTCTACAGGGAAATCCCTCATAAAGGCTGTCTTTACTGTTTGTCTGTACTTACTATTCCATTTTTATGTTTTGATATTAAAATATGTAGCTTCTCTGAGAAAATGGAGAGCCTGGGTGGCTCAGTCGGTTGAGCATCTGACTCTTGGTTTCAGCTCAGGTCATGATCTCGGGGTCCTGGGTTCGAGCCCCGCATTGGGCTCCACGCCTGGTCTCTTGCCAAAGGACCACAGAAGGGGCAGCTCGTAAAACAGAAAACTTGTCGCCCACCACAGCTCTCTTCAAACCAAACACCACTGTACGGGGTTGAATGGTAGCCCACAAAAGGACATGTCCACATCTTGGAACCTGTGATGTGGCCTCATTTGGAAAAAGAATCTTTGCAGATATAAATAAGCTAAGGATCTTGAGATAAGATCATTGTGGATTACCTGGGCGGGTCCTAAATCCAGACAGCTTTCCTTGTAAGAAGCAGAGACTGCAGTTAGGTGGCGGCAAGTGAAGGAAGCCCTGAAGCCTCCAGAAGCCAGCAGAGGCAGGGAAGTCTTCTCCCTAGACCCCTGGGAGGGAGCCCGGTCTTGCCAACACGGGGATTTCAGACCTTGGCCTCCAGAACTGTGAGAATCAATTTGTCTGTTTAAGCCACCCAGAGTGTGGAAATTTGTGATGGAAGCCCTAAGAAACTACAACTACAGAAAAGACTGTGTCCTGCCCCTGGCCCATGCCGGCAAAGGCCAGGTGGGGAGCCCAGACTTCCACACTCATGAGGCTGTAACGAGACACCCCAACAGCACTGCGAAATGGTGTCACCCACTGGGCAGCGATGAAGCCACCCACCTCCGTGGTGAGAGAGGAGCCTGGACCTCCACCCCCACCAGCAGTAACAGGATCACTCTCCCTCTCTCTGATATGAAGGCTCAGAGGAAACCAGTGGAGACTCCAGACTTTTACCACTGCCTAGAGTAACGAGGCCACCCCCACCGCAGCGTCCATGGAGATCACACAAGGAACTGGAACTCCCATGCTCACGCAACCAATAACAAGGGCTCTCCACTTGGCTGTCAATGCAGGTCAAGGGGAAGCTACCCTTCCATCTCCAAGTGGGGGTAATGAGGCAATGCCCCTCAATCTTTTCCTGTTGGACTGGCGTCAAAAAGCCAGCTGAAAGAGAAGGTTTAAATAAGATCCCAAGTCTCAGAACATAACACAAAATGCCCATGTTTCAGTAGAAAATCACTTGTCATCCCAAGAACCAGAAAGATCTCAAACTGAATAAAGAAAGACAACAGATGCTGACACCAGGCTGATCAAGATATCTGAATTATCTGACAAAGATTTAAAAGCACTGTATTAGAATTCTCCAGAAAAACAGAACCAGTAGATGATTATAGAAGCCGAGAAGTCCCAAGATCTGCTGTCTGCACGCTGGGGACCCAGGAGAGCAAGTGATATAGTTCAAAGATCTGAGAGCCAAAAGTGTAGATTCCAGTCCAGATATGAAGGCCCCAGAACCAGGAGCACTGAGGGCAGGTGATCCATGTCCTAGCTCAATAGACAGCAAATTCAACCTTCTTCTGCCTTTTTGTTCTATTTAAGGCATCAACAGATTGGATGAGGCCCAACACATTAGGAAGAGCCACCTGCTCTCCTCAGTCCATCAATTCAGATGCTAATCTTCTCCAGAAACATCCTCACTGAACAACCAAAATAATGTTTTAATGAGCTATCTGAACATCCCTTGGCCCAGTGGAACGGACACAAAAGACTCCCCATCACCAAAGCCATGATTAAAATGTTTCAATAAGGGGCTCCTGGGTGGCTCAGTTGTTAAGTGTCTGCCTTCGGCTCAGGTCATGGTCCCAGGGTCCTGGGATCAAGCCCTGCATCAGGCTCCCTGCTCAGTGGGAAGCCTGCTTCTCCCTCCCCCCTCCCCATGCTTGTGTTCCTGCTCTCATTATGTCTCTATCAAATAAATAAATAAAATCTTAAAAATAAATGAACGAATGAATGAATGAATAAATAAATAAATAAAATGTTTCAACAAGCACTTACGAACACACTTGAAACAGATGAAAAATGAACGGCCTCAGCAAAGAATATAAAGAGTCTGGCCCAGAAATAGAAGGTACGAAGATGATCCAAATGGACGTTTTAGAACTGAAAAATACAATAACCAAGATAAATAATGAAAAGCTCAGTGGATGGGCCCAACAGTAGAAGGGACGTGACAGAGGCCAGACTTGGTAGACTGGAAGTAGAATGACAGGAATTAGCTAATCTGAACGACAGAGAGAAAACCAACTTCAAACAAACAAAACCTCAGGAATCAGTGGGAATACATAAAAGATGTAAAATATGTGTCACTGGGGTCCTAGAAGGAAAGGAGAAAGAGGACAAGGCTGAAAAAAGTACTTCAAATAATGGCTGAAAACTTTCCAAAGGTGGCATGTTACATAAACCTAACAATTCAAGAAGCTGAGGAACCCAAACAGGATAACCCCAAAGAAACCCATGCAAGGACACATCATAATTAAACTTCTAAAAACTAAAGACAAAAATATATATATTGAAAGCAACTACAGAAAAGTGACACTTTATCTACAAGGAAAAACAATGAAATGACAGCAGATTTTTCATCAGAGGCCATGCGGGGTGGCATAATATTTTTCAAGTATTGAAAGAAAAGAATTGTTGGGGCAGCTGGGTGGCTCCATCAGTTAAGCGTCCGACTCTTGCTATCAGCTCAGGTCAGGCTCTCAGGGTCATGAGTTCAAGCCCCGCCGCCCCCCACTGCAAAGAATTTTGAATCCTATACTCAGTGAAATATCCTCCAGGAATGAAGGGAAAATCAAAACATTTTATTTTATTTTTTTAAAGATTTTATTTATTTATTTGAGAGAGAGAGACTGAGAGAGAGAGAGAGCATGAAAGGGGGGAGGGTCAGAGGGAGAAGCAGACTCCCTGCCGAGCAGGGAGCCCGATGTGGGACTCGATCCAGGGACTCCAGGATCATGACCTGAGCCGAAGGCAGCCGCCCAACCAACTGAGCCACCCAGGCGCCCAAAACATTTTTTTTTAAAGATTTTATTTATTTATTTGATAGACAGCAAGAGAGGGAACACAAGCAGGGGGAGTGGGAGAGGGAGAAGCAGGCTTCTCGCGGAGCAGGGAGCCTGATGCGGGGCTCGATCCCAGGACCCTGAGATCATGACCCGAGCCGAAGGCAGAAGCCCAACGACTGAGCCACCCAGGTGCCCCAAATCAAAACATTCTTCTTTTTTTTTTTTTTAAAGATTTTATTTATTTATTTGAGAGAGAGAATGAGATAGAGAGAGCATGAGCGGGGGAGGGTCAGAGGGAGAAGCAGACTCCCTGCCGAGCAGGGAGCCCGATGCGGGACTCGATCCCAGGACTCCAGGATCATGACCTGAGCCGAAGGCAGTCGCTTAACCAACTGAGCCACCCAGGCGCCCCAAATCAAAACATTCTTATACAGAAGAAATCAAAGAGAATTTTTCACCAGCAGACTTATCATAAAAGAATGGCTAAAGGAAGTTCTTGAAACCGAAAGGAAATGGTAACAGAAGGAAACCTGGAACATCATGAAGGAAAAAAGAACACAAATGTACAGGGAACATAACACAGAAATATAGATAAATACAATAGGCATTTCTTTTCTTGAGTTTTCTGAAATATTTTTTTACAGTTAAGGCAACACTGATAGTTCTAAATGTATATAGAAAAAATATTTAAGAAACAAGATTATGCTGTAAATGGGGAAGGATAAAGAGATATAAGGATTATTTCACTTGAACTGATAAAATGATGACACCAGGGGCGCCTGGGTGGCTCAGTCGTTAAGCGTCTGCCTTCGGCTCAGGTCATGATCCCAGGGTCCTGGGATCGAGCACCGCATCGGGCTCCCTGCTCTGCGGGAGGCCTGCTTCTCCCTTTCCCACTCTCCCTGCTTGTGTTCCCTTTCTCGCTGTGTCTCTGTCAAATAAATAAAATCTTTAAAAAAAAAAAAAAAGATGACACCAAGGGCGCCTGGGTGGCTCAGTCGTTAAGCATCTGCCTTCGGCTCAGGTCATGATCCTGGGGTCCTGGGATCAAGTCCCACATCGGGCTCCTTGCTCAGCACAGAGCCTGCCTCTCCCTCTGCCTGCCTGCCACTCCCCCTGCTTATGCTCTCTCTCTCTCTCACTCTCTCTGTGTCAAATAAATAAATAAAATCTTTAAAAAAAAAAAGATTTTATTTATTTATTTGATAGACAGCAAGAGAGGGAACACAAGCAGGGGGAGGATCAGAGGGAGAAGCAGACTCCCCGCCGAGCAGGGAGCCCGATGCGGGACTTGATCCAGGGACTCCAGGATCATGACCTGAGTCGAAGGCAGTCGCTCAACCAACTGAGCCACCCAGGCGCCCCTTCTGTAATGTTTCTAAGACTGTGTCTATTAAATGCAAACAAAAAAGGAAGAAGTCTTGGCAGAACAGGAGAAGTGATGCACACTTGATGATCAGACTGATTTTAAATATTATTCATGGCATATAGTCTAGTCCATGCTCTAGCTGTTTCTATGGCTTGGGCTTCGTTGGTCTTCCACTGCTCCGCTACATCATTTGCTAATGGATCATCTGGATTGGGAGCACTTAACAAAGCCTGAATTGATAGCAGAACTGTGTGGATCTGCAGTGCTGGGGACCACTTATCTTTCAAAATATCTAAACATATTCTTCCCAACTTGTCTACATTAGGATGATAAATTTTGGTCATGAAACGTACTTTAGGGGCTGCCATCGGGTATTCTTCTGGTAGGAATAGTTCAAGCTTAAAAGTCCCTCCCTCAAAGGGGGAATCCTGGGGACCAGCAATGACCACATGAAAATAACGGGCGTTGCTCTCATCTGGTTCTGCTTTAATGCCAGGAACTGGTTCTGCCAGCAAACGCTGGGTTTCCTTGATAATCCTGTGGGGCAGCCCGGCCATATTGTCAGATCCCGAGTTCGGCCTCTGGTTTTCGACTCCGGCTCCGCTTGCCTCACACACGAATGGAAGTCCTATACGTATATTTTTAATACCTAGAACAATTACTAAAGAAGCTACACAAAGAGACACTCAAAAACACTATAAATAAATCAAAATGGAATTCTAAAATATGTTGAAGCAACCCACAAGAATGCAGAAAAAAGAAAACCAGAGAAAACAAAAAGAAAAATGGCAAACTTAAGCCCTAACATATCAATAATAAAAGTAAATGTAAATGGTCTAAATAGACCAAATAAAACTCAGAGACTGATAGAGTAAATTAAAAACAAACAAACCAAAAAAACATGATTCAGCTGTATGCTATCTACAAGAAACTAACTCCAAATATATTAATATAGAAAAGTTACAAGCACAGGAGAGAAAATACATATCATGCAAACATTAATCAGAGGAAAGGAGAGGCTAGATTTATATCAGATGAAGTGGACTTTGGAGGAAAGAAAATTACCAGAGGCAGAGAGGGACATTATGATAAAATGGTCAATCCACCAAAAAGATACAGCAATCCTAAGTGTGTATTCATAAGACAAAAGAGCTACAAAGGATGTAAGTCAAAAAATGATAGAAAAGGAGAAATAGACAAATCTACAATTACAATTGGTGACTTTGATACTCCCCTCTCAAGAACTGATAGAGCAACTAGACAGAAAATCAGCAAAGATATAGAACTCTACAAGATCAAAACATTCTACCCATTAACAGTAGAAAATGCGTCTTTTTAAGTGTCCATAGAACATATACCAAAATTGACCATATCCTGGGATATAAATTAACAAATGTAAAAGAATGGAAATCATACAGACTGTTCTCCAAACACAATATAATCAAACCAGAAGTCAATAACAGAAAGATAACAGGAAAATCTCCCAACACTCAGAAACTAAACAACACATTTCTAGGAAATCCATGAGTTGAATGGGAAATCTTGAGGGGGGGAAAAGACAAGAGTTTATCAATTCTGCAGGATACAAGACAAACATACAAAGACATTCTATAGATTATGAATGAGCATGTGGAAACCAAAATTAAAAATACAAGACCATTTACAATCACTAAGACAAAACACTTAGGTGTTACTGTAACAAAACTTGTAGAACTTGTATGCTAGAGACTACAAAATGCAGATAAAAGGGGCGCCTGGGTGGCTCAGTCATTAAGCATCTGCCTTCAGCTCAGGCCGTGGTCCCAGGGTCCTGGAATCGAGCCCCATATCGGGCTCCCTGCTTGGCAGGAAGCCTGCTTCTCCCTCTCCCACTCCCCCTGCTTGTGTTCCCTCTCTCACTGTGTCTCTCTCTGTCAAATAAATAAATAAAAATCTTAAAAAAAAAAATGCAGATAAAAGAAATCAAAGACCAAAATAGATGGAGAGACATACTCTGTTCATGGATTGGAAGACTCAACATGGTAAGGATGTTAACTCTTCCCAAATTGATAGGTTTAACACAATTCCTATTGAAATCCCAGCAAGACTTTTTATAGATAAAAACAACATTATTCTAAAATCTACATGAGAAAGTGAAGAAACTGGAATAGCTAAAACAACTTTTTTTTTTTTACTATGCATTTATGTATGTATGTAGGTAGGTATTAGTCTTTAATTTCTACACCCATCATGAGACTCAAACTCACAACCCCAAGATCAAGAGTTGGATGCTCTATCAACGGAGTCAGCCAGGTGCCCCATTAAAACAATTTCTTAGAGGATGAATAAAAGAGAAATCAGCCTACCGGATTTTAAAACCTTATATAGCTACAGTAATCTGTGGTACTGACAGAGGGACAGACCCATCGATCAAAGGAACAGAGAACCTAGAAAGAGACTCACACAAATATGTCCAACAAATTTTGACAAAGGTGCGACAGCAATGCAATGGAGGAAAGACAGCCTTTGCTACAAACGACACTGAAGTGACTTAACATCTGTATGAACAGATACGTTCCCAAATGAAACTTAACCTTATAAAAAATAAAATCAAAATGGATCACAGACTTAAATGTAATATGTGAAGCTATAAAACTTGTAGGAAAAAACACAGGAGAAACTATTTGGGATTTAGGGCTAGGCAAAGAGTCCTCCGACTTGACACCAAAAGCACAATCCATAAAAGGAAAAATTAATAAACTCAATTTCATCAACATCAGAAACTTTTACTCTGGAAAAGACCCTGGTCCAAGGATGAGAAGACAAGCTGGAGACAAGGTATTTGCAGACCATATGTCCAACAAGGCACTAGCAGCTTGAAGTCTAAAGAACTTTTAAAACTTAACAGTAAATAAGCAATCCAAATAGAAAAATGGATAAGAGACATTTTACCAAAGAGAATTTAAAGATGGCAAATAAGCACATGAGGAGATGCTCGACCTCATTAGCCATTAGGGGAATGCAGACTGAAAACACAGTGAGAGATCACCACCCATTTATCAGAATGGCTAAAATAAAAAGCAGTGACAACTAATCCTGGGAGGATTTCAGAGAATATGTTGCTGGTGGGTGGGCATGTGAAAATGGCTTAGCCCCTCTGGAAATGGGTATGGTAGTTTCAAAACAAACACACCACATGCGACTTCTCTGCACCCGTCAGCCCTTCACTGCGGCCTCACGTACCAGTCCCATGGCCGTGACACATGCTGTTCTCACCTCCAACAGGACTACAAGTGTTTTTCCTTTTGCTTCAGATGCCAGTTCTGGGCTTTGCAAATCTCCACTACCCTTTTTTTTTTTTTTAAAGATTTTTTTTATTTATTTGACAGAGAGAGACACAGCGAGAGAGGGAACACAAGCAGGAGGAGTGGGAGAGGGAGAAGCAGGCTTCCCGGCGGAGCAGGGAGCCCGATGCGGGGCTCGATCCCAGGACCCTGGGATCATGACCTGAGCCGAAGGCAGACGCTTAACGACTGAGCCACCCAGGCGCCCCTCCACTACCCTTTTAAGATTGACTTTGCTCCCTGAGATCTTCAGGCAGAGATGGTCAGCCCTTCCTTTTTCAGTGCTACTCCAGGAACTGCTACCCTTGATCCCGTGGTTGATTCTTATCTACCCCTGAGACTTTCTCCTTAGTGTCCACTCTTCCTGAGAGCACAACAGTTACGAGCGGGAGCTCCAGAGTGGATCAGGTCTGGGCTAGGATCCCGACTAGACTAGTTACTAGTCCTGACCTTGGACAAATTAGTTCACATCTCTTGAGCCTAAGTTTTATTGTCTGTAAAGTGGAATAACAGTAATAACAGTATAGTAAGTAGCATTATGTGGATTAAATGAGATAATAAATGTATTTTGAAAATTTAGCATGGTGCCCAGCACATAGTAGGGGCTCAATAAATATCAATTCTTATAGTTGTTATAATTATCATCACCCAAACTCTCTCGTCCCTGCAAGCACAGAAACAGGTTTGGAATACTGGGCTCCTTTATTTTTATTTTTTAAATTTTATTTATTTCTTTGACAGAGAGAGACACAGCGTGAGAGGGAACACAAGCAGGGGAAGTGGGAGAGGGAGAAGCAGGCCTCCCGCAGAGCGGGGAGCCCGATGTGGGGCTGGATCCCATGGGATCATGTCCTGAGCCGAAGGCAGACGCTTAACGACTGAGCCACCCAGGTGCCCCACTGGGCTCCTTCATCTGTTTAAACAGAATGAGTTGGGTTTGAACAAAATGTTAAATTCACAGTTTAAGGAGAAAAAAAGCAGGGGTGCCTGGCTGGCTCAGTCAGTGGAGCACGAGATTCTTGATCTTGGAGGTTGTGGGTTCGAGCCCCATGTTGGGTGTAGAGATTGCTTAAAAATAAAATCTTTAAAAAGAAAAGAAGAGGGCGCCTGGGTGGCTCAGTTGGTTAAGCGACTGCCTTCGGCTCAGATCATGATCCTGGAGTCCCTGGATCGAGTCCCGCATCGGGCTCCCTGCTCGGCGGGGAGCCTGCTTCTCCCTCTGACCCTCCCCCCTCTCATGTGCTCTCTGTCTCTCTCATTCTCTCTGTCTCAAATAAATAAATAAAATCTTCAAAAAAATAAAATAAAAAAAGAAAAGAAAGCAATATTTAAATTAGCTTCAGAGGTCAAAATATTACAATCCATGCCGATCTAGAATTAGGTTAGGTTTTAGTCATTTCTGTGAAAAGGCAGATTCTATAGGTATAAATTTAAGATGTGACTCTCCTATGGAGGATAAGAAAAAAAGATGTTCAATAAATATTTGACAAATGAAGGGAACAAGATGAAGATGTTCTAGAGAAAATAACCTATCCATATTCATTCAACCCAACATTTACTGTACACGTGTCAGGCACTGTGCTCAGTGTCAGATGCACAGAATATAAGAAAGTATAAGTAACTTGTCACAAGTTACAACGTTATTTGTATTAAAATGACCGGAGACAAAAGGGCGCCTGGGTGGCTCAGTTGGTTAAGCGTCTGACTTAAGGTCATGATCTCAGGGTCCTGGGATCGAGCCCTATGTCAGGTTCTGCGCTCAGCGGGGAGTCTGCTTCTCCCTCTCCCTCTGCCCCTCCCCCAGTTTGTGTTCTCTCTCAGATAAATGAATAAAATCTTTAAAGAAAAAAAACAAAAACAAACCAAAGACACAAGAAATCCTTTTTTCCCTCTACTTAAAAAATTAAAATTGGATTCATCAAATCTCACAGAAGAAAAAATACACACATTTAACTTTTAGTTTTTTATTTTGTTTCAGACAGCTGGACGAGGCATCTACATTCTAGCACATCTTAGCAATCACTAAACAAATGAAAGACAGCTTACTTATATATAAAAACGCAAGGGGAAAAGGTCATGATTGTCTAACAGGGAATTTGAATCCCCAAATAAATTATCTTACAAAAATATCAAACTTGCTTTTCCACATTTCTACTGTTAAAAATGAAGGAAAAAAATTCACATTAAAAAAAAATCTGTAGGCTGGTATAGCAAGTTAAGATAATCATTTTTACACACTAAGTAAGTCCTTCAAATAAATATCTTAAACAAATTTAAGTTTTTCAAAAAATAGGTCAAGTATTTACCTTATATTTGTTTGGTCCACTAAAAGACCGTTTATAAAACTGACATTAAACTGGACCGTAGCTCATACCCTATGAGCAGTTAACATACACACCGCTGAGGCTGGCTATGCACGTGTGCATATTACATATATGTGAACAGCTACTGCTGTACATACTACTTTCATGAGTAGTTTTACCCTGTAAAAATCCTCTAGTCTATCATGAATCGAACTGCACAGAAAAAAAAAAGAAAATACTCTGCCTAGTGTAGACATTTGCTCAGTAATTTTTAACAACGCAAATATTATCACGTTTTGGGGACATTAAAGATTACTGAACATGAGATAAAATTCAATACTGCTTACAAATACCTGAATATGGAGAGCATATTCACCACTCATGCGGAGAGCACACAACTGAATGTATGTTACAGAACTCCGTCTTCTAGCTGGTCTATTCCTACTGTTTTGATTCTAAAGTTTTACATGGCCTGGGATCCTTAAAAGATAGAAATTTAATAAGATAATGTTACATTAAGTTTTTCTGTTCTAATAATTAACTTTTCAAGAAGTACACAGTGGAAAGGTATAGGGCTTTCTGTATCTCCTCATACGTTAAAAGCCAATTTCATTTTTATCGTGATGCTGATATTTCAATTAACACTATGCTACAAGTAAGACTGACTGCACTACAGTTTTGTCCACAACAGTCAAATCTCTTATTGCTAAAATATTCCAAAATAAATCCAGTAAACAATTTCCATTTCCAATGGCTTAACTGAGAGATGAATCTAACAATTTTTTTTTAACCAATTACAACTAAACTGAGCTGAGGACAGCTATGTTTAAAACCCCGCAAAACCAAAGCCAATCATCCAAAAATCTAGAATACCAACACTTTCCATCCAGGATAGAAAAATGAGCAACCAAAATAAAGAGAACCACAAGACTGCTCAAGTAACCAATCAAAAACCACTTCTCTGTTATTTGAGCTAATAGTTACTCGAAGCTTGAAGTTTCCTCCTTCGTTATTATTGGTGGATCCTAGAGTCACAGCTTCAATGTCAAATGTGACAGTGGACCCAGAAGTAACTGCTGGCAACTGATTAGTCATTTCTTTTCCATTTACAAAAACCGCACCTAAAATGTTAAGGTAAAGAGTCATTTACATGTGAGCAACAATGTAGAACTGAAACGGATTCTAGATTACTGGTAACACAGGTAATTTCCCAACTCACATCAAGAAAACATTATGTTATGCCAACTAGTCAAAGAGAATGCATTCCAATATTAAGGCAGGAGAAAAAGTTAAAGCTTTAATCACATTTTCGAGTTCTGGTCCAGGGTTCTACTCTTTTTTTTTTTTTTTTTTTAAGATTTTATTTATTTATTTGAGAGAGAGAGACACAGTGAGAGAGGGAACACGAGCAGGGAGAGTGGGAGAGGGAGAAGCAGGCCTCCCATGGAGCAGGGAGCCCGATGCGGGGCTCCATTCCAGGACCCTGGGATCATGACCTGAGCCGAAGGCAGACGCTTAACCGGCTGAGCCACCCAGGCGCCCCGGTTCTACTCTTTCAGAGTGGAGACTGAGTTTCCCACAGGGATGGCATAAAAGAAACTTGACTCCATTACAAGATTACATCCTGTGGAACAGCAACATTGTTGCACATGAAATAAACAAGAATGTTGTTCTATCTACTGTTTGACCCATACCACAACATATTAACACATCTTGAGAGGGGATTTTAAAAGTGTGATTACTATAGGGGCGCCTGGGTGGCTCTGTTGGTTAAGCGTCTGCCTTCGGCTCAGGTCATGATCTCTGGGTCCTGGGATCAAGCCCCACGCTGGGATCCTGCTCAGAAAGGAGTCTGCTTCTCCCTCTTCCTCTGCCTCTCCCCGTTCCCTTCTCGTTCTCTCTCTAATAAATAAATAAAATCTTTTAAAAAATGAAATTAAAAATAAAATTTAAAAATATATATAAAAGTGTGATTACTGCAGAGTAAGGGGCCAAAGAACGCTAGGGAGATATAAAAAATTAAGTAAACTCTCTCCTTGGTTCACCAACCGATGTTGAATTTAGATGACCTACGCACACGGAATCCAGGGATAGACTGCCTGGTGCAAATCCCAACTCAATCACCTCTAAGCTATGGGAGTTTAAGCCGGTCACTCAACCTCCCTGTGGCTCGGTTTTCATCATCTATAAAATGGGTGTAATACTACTTCCCACCTCAACAAGCTGTTAAAAGGATTAAATGATTTATTATTTGTAAAGGGAATAGAATAATGCCTGGTACATAGTAGCCATACAGATATGTCATAAAGACTTAAACTTGCTCATCTCCTGCTACACATGTGTGATGTTGGGGCAGATTTGTATCTTACTACACTAATTCACGTATTTCAAAGAAACAGCAGTTATGTATCTCTTACCGTTTGTACTGATGCACACTGCTTGATCGCGCTGCAGAGAGTCGTATCCATTCTGTTTTTCTGCACACACTCCTATACTGTCTCTTCTGTCTGGTTGTCCCACAGTCTCAACTCTGTAAATGAGGTAGAAAGGTCATTAATCTTTTTTTTTTTTTTTTTTAGATTTTATTTATTTGACAGAGAGACACAATGAGAGAGGGAACACAAGCAGGGGGAGTGGAAAAGGGAGAAGCAGGCTTCCCGCCGAGCAGGGAGCCTGATGTGGGACTCGATCCCAGGACCCTGGGACCATGACCTGAGCCGAAGGCAGTTGCGCAACAACTGAGCCACCCAGGCGCCCCTCTTTTTTTTTTTTTAACATGTTATCTAACAGTTACTAAGGTTAAAAAGAGCAATCTCATCATAGCTGCTCTTAATAATAGCTAAAAATGATTCCATACTTCCTAAATTCCAGGCACTGATCTAAAAATTTTATATCTATCTATATCAATCATCTCATTGAATTCACCTAACAACCCATAAGGTAGGTGCTATGATTACTGTACCCATTTTATACATGAGAAAAAACAAGATTAAAAAGAGGCTAAATAACTTGACCCTGATCACCTGGCTGAGTGCTGGACCCATGATAGGAATTCAGGCATTCTGACTGTAGGCTCTATGTGAACTATTTACAGCTATGACAATGCATTCCCATTTTATGTTCTGATTCTAGACACAGAGGAAACTTGTCACACTTGCCATTATAAGAAATGTGACTGTTCCTGCCATCACCTAAAGCTTCAACGTGAGAGTCTATGCAATGGTTTGCTTACTGTTTATCAAGTATTTAAAGCCTTTAAAAATAGACATTATAATCTTTAAAAAAATAGATAATATAGTTATTAACATATTTTGGTTGGAGAAATTCATATGTGGAAGGTCTTTTTGTGTTTTAGTCTCAAAATACATCATCATGCACTCTAGAAACAGGGAACTTACATATAAAGTCAACCTATATTTCTACCACCAGATGCATCTTTCCCTCCGTTCCAGAAAGTCAGACTTTGAAGGACAGAAAAAGAAAAATTAGTAAGCAATAGAATGTAGCTGTACCAAGGGAAGATGTATTTATACTTGGTATGGCCTCAAAATGTCTTTTGTTACAAAGTGCCAAACAGGCAGGATCAAAATAAATATGTGGGTGGGTTTCTGAAGTCCTTTCACTTCTAAACCAGCAGTATTTTTTTTTTTTAAGATTTTTTATTTATTGATCAGAGAGAGAGAGAGAGCACAAGGAGGGGGAGCGGCAGAGGGAGAAGCAGGCTCCCCGAGGAGCAGGGAGCCCGATGCGGGACTCGATCCCAGGATTCCGGGATCATGACCTGAGCCAAAGTCAGACAGACGCTTAACCGGCTGAGCCACCCAGGCGCCCCTAAACCAGTGGTCTTAAGAAGTAAGGGGAAGAGGAGAGTGATGTCAGCAAGATGGCAGATTCATAAGCCCTAGTCCTGCTTCTACCACAGAGACACTACTTTAACAATGATATACAGACCAAAATACCTTTATGAGGTTTCCAGAATCCAGTTAAGAAGCTGCAGTACCTCCAGGGAGTACAAGCTGAAAACAGCTGCACTGAAATGGGTGAGAAGAGAAATTTCACTTCCCCAAGTCAGGGCCTCTCCCAAGCTCCACAGATCAGTGCCTGGTAAGAACACCCCGGCTTCGGACTCTTCCCTTGGGACAGGGAAAGAGAGGAGTGGAGCGTGCATCCAACGTTCCAACTCTTTGGAAGGTTGCCTGAAGGACTGATATCTGTTGTGCCTCCTTTACAGCACTGACAGAACAACCATAGTATGGTTGCCTGAATGCTGCTAAGACCAAAGAAATGGGAGGGGTGGCATCCAAGAGCCAGTACAACTGGGTGTGACTGGGAGCAGGTGCATAACTTGAGGCTCCCCTCTCTCAGAGGAAGAGAGAAGAACGGAATGTGCTTCTGCACCAGCTTTTTACAGGGCTGCTCAAGGGAACGGTACCTGTCTCACTTGATGTGGGCACCGATGGGGAGCTGGCAAACTCTGGATGCCTGGTGGCCACTGAGTACAAGAGAGAACAGGGCTATTTGCTGCTGTTAACATCAGAAAACAGGCAGTGCCACAAACAGGCACCAGAGGGAGCAAGAGATTAGGACCTCCTGAAAGACCCACAAAGCTCTCTAGTTGAGAAATTGCACACACAAGCCCAGGGAAGTCTCATCCTCCCAAAAAAGGTTTCAGAGGCTCCCAGCATCTCTAGCTGAGTTCATTTGTGAGGGTCTTTTCCTGCACGAAACCAGGTCATAAAAACTGGGAGAGGTGGCTGTTTTCTCATATGTATAGATCCCAACACAAAATTATAACACATTTGGAGAAACAGGAAAACATGGGACAAACAAAAAACTAAAATAGATCTCAAAAAATTACCCTAATGGGGGCACTGGGTGGCTCAGTTGGTTGAGCGTCCAACTCTTGATTTCAGTTCAGGTCCTGATCTCGGGGTCGTGAGATCAAGCCCCACGTTGGGCTCTACACTCACCACAGAGTCTACTGGTGATTCTTCCCTCTCCCTTTCCCAACTCGAGCTCACGTGCGCTCTCTCTCTCAAATCAATAACTAAATCTTTTTTAAAATTATCCTAATGAAATGGAGACATGAATTATGTGACAAACAATTCAAAACAAGCATCATAAAGATGCTCTACGAGGTCAAAAATATAAGACATGAGTAAAAAGAATACCAACAAAGAAACAAAAAATATAAAAAAAAAAAACCAAAAAACCTAGACAGTATTTTGGAGCTGAAGAATACAATAATAACTGAAAAATTCACAAGAGAAGTGCAACATCACACAATCAAGCAGAAGAAATTAACATCAAATTAGAAGAGAGGTCATTTGAAATTATCCAACAGCAGGGACAAAAGAAAAAAGAATGAAGAAAGTCTAAGAGACTTATGGAGAAGAGAGAAAGGGGCAGAATGTTCATTTAAGCAAATAATGGCTGAAAACTTCCCAAATATGGAGCAGGGAATGGACATCTAGATTCAAGAAGCCTAATGGACACCAACTGGGATAAACCCAAGAAATCACACTGAAACATATTATAATCAAATTGTCCAAACTCAAAGACTGAGACTTTTAAAGCAGCACTAGAAAAGTGACTCATCATGTACTAGGAAGTTCACATAAGACTATGAGTGGGGGCATCTGGGTGGTTCAGTCGGTTAAGTGTCAGACTTTTGATTCCAGCTCAGGTCATGATCTCAGGGTCGTAAGATCAAGCCCCGTGTTGGGCTCTGCACTCAGTGGGGAGTCTGCTTGTTCCTCTCCCTTTCCCTCTGTCCCTCCCCCTGCTATCTCTCAAATAAATAAATAAATAGCAATAAAACAGAAAAGGCCCTCAATGCAGTGAGAAAAAAGAAAAAAACTCCTAATCTGAATAAATTACAAAGTAATTCCTAAAAGCATCTTTCACCAAAACAGCATGTAATAAAGATAAGCACGACATAAAAAGTTTACAAAAGTTGCTCTGAACATGGAATGAACCAGGAAACTAAAGCGCTAATAAATGAGACATAGAATTATTTTCATAGTTCACTAAGAAATAGAATGGAGGTTTAAAATCACTGAATTTTTAAGTTGTAAGACAAGTAGTCAGGACAGTATATACTCAGACACTATTGTAGTTGTTCTCTCACATAAAACCAGTTTTTAAGAAACTATATAAAAAAGAAAAATGCTATACAAGATAATTTATGGTAGGGTACAGTGACTTCCTCTAATGCATGTACAACTGAAATACAATTAATAAAAAATTAATTTATGGACAAGCTACTAGAAATACATACACTGTGCAGAGTAAAGGAGTAGAACGTCCTGGGTAATAATTTTTCTCAAAGGTAAACTGTTATGAGAGAGAACATGGCCCAAAACAGGAGCAATTTCGATGGCAACAAGAGGGCTAATCTGTTATCCCTATTACTCTGCACTTTGGCTAACTCTGATTGTATTTAAGTGACACATCCTCTTTCTTACACGATCTGTAATGTTTTTCTTCGCAGGGAATGCTTGGAGCAAAATTCAAAAATTCAGTTGCTTAGCTAATAAATATATGAAAAATATCCAACTTTATGATAAATACAAGAAATAAAATGAAAATTTTATTTTAGCCTAGCAGCTACAGATTGATTAAAAACAGCAATACTTAATACTGACAAGGATGCAGTGACGTCAGTACCCTCACACTGCTGGAAAGATTGCAAAGTGCTTCCAGGAACACAGCCAGCTAGTCTGTGTGTCACTAATAGGAACACTAGCCCAAAGAATAGAGAATGAGCCATATATCAACAAAGAGGTCATGGCACATCTTGACATGTCAGGAATAAGAAAAAGAAGGGCTGCCTTGTCAAGTCATTGGAAAGGAGGATTTCTGAAATATATCTGAAACAGAAATATATTGCTCACTATACAAATCCTAAAATAGCTGTTACCCTCTCTCAAAACAAACCTGATAACTTGAATAGACCTCTATCTACTACAGAAATTGGAAATCTTCCAACAAAGAAAATTCTAGGATGGCAAATTGATTGGTGAATTCTACCAAATATTTAAGGAAGAAATAATACTAAATTTACACCAACAGTTCTGGAAACAAAAGAGGAAGAAACATTTCCTGCCTCACTTTGTAAGGCTGGTCAAAACCAAAACCGAAAACATCATAAAAAAAAAGATAAATATCTCTCTCATGAAGAGATATAAAAATCCCCAACAAAAGATTAAAAACCAAATTTAGCAATATATATAAAGATAATATATGACAAAGTGGAGGTTCTCTCGGGAATGCAAAGCTGGTTCAATGTTCAAAAATCTATCATTGTAATTCACCATATTAACAGAAGAAAAACAGTATGATTACATTAACAGATGTATAAAAATGATGAGACAAAATTAAACATTCACTTATGGATAAAACTCTCAGCAAAGCACAATTAGAAGGGAACTTCCTTTCTTTCTTTCTTTTTAAATTTTATTTATTTGAGAGAGAGAGTGAGTGAGAGAGTGCACAGTCGGGGGAGGAGCAGAGGGAGAGGGAGAAAGA